GAATTTGAATGGTCAATAGATTTAACAATGTCTGGCTAGTAGTAGCCACTGCTTTCCTAGTTGACAGGTATAAGTCGAGAGCTGGTTGAAGCTATAGCAGAGGGGATCTCATTCAGATATTAGCAACTCTACGCCTCCCTGATGGTCAGATTGTCAAGGCTGTAACAGCTAACTCTTGATTTTCTGCATGTGCTTTGTCTGTTTTGAGGATTTGTGGGGATCAATTTCTACATTCTTAGATGGATTTCCCTGTTTCCCAACAAACTTCTAAATCACCTGACTATACTACATAATATATGGTAGAATAAAGAAATAAATGTTAATATCAGAAAAAACACAACACCATAGAAAGGTATAAAGAGAGCTGGGGAGGGAAATAAGAGAACTGAGTTTTACTCCCAAGAATTCCATTGATAAATTTGGAAAAATTACTTAATCTCATTCTGCTTCAATTTTCTTACTTCTAAGATGATGCAATTGAAGGACATGCAATCAAAGGGCTCTTGATACTCAGACTCTATGATTCTGTGACTCATCTGAAATCAACTCAGTGTGTCAGTGACGAGTTTGGCCATTTAAACTATTAAAGCCTTTTCTTAATTGTGTTAAAATACCAATTCAGTAAATAATTCTGGATTCTCTTACAGGCTTGTAAGAAACTAGGACTTAAGAGATCCCTCAGGAGTTCAGGCAGCCATATTGTATCTTGCCTGAACCCAGCTGTCATGATATTGTGACATGGCCTTACTCAATACAAGTATTTCCTGATCATTTAACAAAATCATTGGATTATTATGTATTTTATTTTCCTGCTGCTCTTAACATATCATATGTGCATGGTATTCATTGATAATCTCTTCTAAATTGTTATTCGTCCTGGAGAGGAACTGGATTTTATTTCACAAAGGGCTTTCTCCACCAAGTGGTTAATGCATGATTCCAATTTTAGCCAGAGAATGTTCCTCCACCCTTCCTGCTGTGTTTCAGTTTATAAACTTGCTATATATGAAATGTTACTCTTTTTAGGTTGTACTTTTGACATATTGAGACAAGGGAACTGGTGGGATATTCTTTATTCTCAGGCCGCTCCTTGAAGGGAATATAGTTTTCACCCCTCCTAAAAACCAGGGGAGATTGTTAGGGGACTAAATAGAAACCCCAGCTCCACACCTAGAACCCTTTCAGGTGTAATAAATTACTTATAAAGTCTTCTCTGTGTTGCTTAAGAATCTGATTCAACAGCTATTTTGCGTTGCCTATGGAAAGGCAGAATCCTTGAGCACACGCCTGGATCTAGCTATAAAAATAATATCCACACCCTCAGTTTAATAAATAAATACCTATCTATGAGGGGAAAGGCAAGGAAATAAATCAGTGCTTCCTTTTGTTTTTCCAGAGGCAAAAATTCTTAATTTCCACGAGAAAAGGGAGAAAGCTCCTCTGTGTCTCTCTGGATTTGGTCAATTCTAATTCCCAGGAGGCTGTGGGGTTATTCATTAAGGTCAGGGAGCTTAGCCCTGGTTTAGCTGCTTAACACCCTGAGTCAGCTGGAGGAAACTGGGAACTTCAGTAGAAACAAAAGAGGAGGTATTTCCTTTTGTATTTCCTTTAGTATTTTTGCTCCCCAGATGAAATTATTCTTAATAATTTAATGAATCCAGACACTGACGTCTACTCACTATAGCCACTGGGTAGGACAGTGGGGATGGCACTTACTCACTGAACCCCCGTGGCAGATCTCTTCTCCTGGAATGTCAGTTTCTTTACTTGTAAATATTTCCTCTTCTGATTTTCAGAAAGCATTATATGCTCACATGAGCATATTTTATAAACTGGAAAGCTCTATAGATATTTGAGGTGTTATCACATTAATCTTTCTCACCATGTATTCTACCTTTTATTGTGGACAAAAGACAGATTTCCCCATCAGGAAAGAGGACAAGAAAAATCTTTGTCCTGACCTGTAGAGACAGTGCAGATTTAATTATCCTAGCCTATGGCCCCATACATTAGCTGCAGGTGTGCTGCTGGCGTCACTGTATCCAATACACAAGAGTTTGCATTGCTTCCTTGAGTCCAAGTCAAGATAACCTGGAAAGTTAGAAATATATCCACTAGATACCAACTTGATATTTCAAACCATTGCAGCCTCATACAAATAGGAAAGAATCTCTCTTTCTCTCTCTTTTTCTCTTTCTCTCTTACTCACACAAATACCTTCTTTTCAGCATATTTTCCAATCTAATATTTCAGGTGAATAGGGACTGTGTCCATTCTATCACCAGCACCTAGCATGGTGCCTTACTCAAAGGAGTCTCTTAATAAATAATTGCTGAATCAATGTGAATGGTTTCTTTGCCTAAGTACTTGTAAAGCACTTTGATGTATTTCCTTTGAAAAGTATATTAATTTATTTGAAAATACACTGCCCTCTTAAAAACCACATTAGCACATTAATTGTCCTGTCTTGAGGTTAGTTTCTTAAATTTAGGCTAAGAGCTCACCACTCTATATACCAGCTCAGTAAAAGCTTTCATCTCCTCTCTATGCTATTACCATCTTTGAGTGATTCACAATGTACTCACGCCACATGGATAGTGTGATATTTTTAAGATCCTAGTTTATACAGTACCTTAGGGCACAGTGTGACTTTTTTTTAATTGATAGAACATGATCAAAAATTAACTTTGCTCATTTTTTCATAATACAGGGTTATTGAAAAGATTGTCTTTTACTTAGATCTAGAAGAGAGAAGAGGAGAGAAGCCTGCACGGAAGTGTCAGGGTGAGGAACATGACATGAGCACAGTGGCATCAGGGTATTCGGGGCGGCTGGTTTAAGGCGTGAGCTCAGCTTAGCAGAGGCTTTAAAACATATTCTATTTGGACTTCAGAATTTTCACTGCCTCTAGTATTTATGGAGGCTGGCCTTCCCCAGCCCACACCCTAACCCCCCATCTTAGCCATTCTTACTTTCTCCAATTGGCTCTTACGCCATGGACATGAAAAAGATAGTACCTGCCAAAGCCTGATCTATTCCAAAGTTTCTACACAAGCACAAGTTACCATAAAATCAAACAAAAGAGTGCATCATGGAAAAGCAGCATTGTACTTTCATTATGTTAGGGGTACCTGGTTCTCTTTAGGTCCACTTTGCTTTAGTGTTATCAAATGTGATGGTTGAAAGAGAATTTGGAAATTATTTCATCTCACCTAATTTCACAGGTGAGTAAATAGAGTTCTACAGCAGCTAAGTGACTTGCCCAGAATAGTATAGCTAGACAGTGGCAGCAAAAAGACTTGAACCCAGATCCTCCCACTCTTGGGTGAACCAGTACATATTTTTCAGTCAATCAAGAATTACCTTTTGGCGACTCACAATGTGCCTGACAGTGCTCTTACATGCCATTAAAAATGGTCATAAAATGTAGTGCCCAACATTGTAATTCTTTGGAAAGAAAAACTGAGTTATGAATATATACAAGCAAGAGACCAAAGGGTTAATCAGAAACGAAATAATTTTCACATAAAGTGATCTTTCTTCCTTTTTTTTATTATAAGCTCAGAGAGAATTGTAGCAATACAGGTTGAGCAATTTTCTTTTTTATGAATCTTGTGCTCAATTTATGAAAGCCATTTTGCAACCCATTTATATGCAGTAAACCTTTGCTTTAAGGTTCTGTCATTTACCTTGATCATGATTATTTATAGTGCTTTTAGAAAAGGCCCTTTACTGGTTTAGTTCTCAAGCACAGCACTGCCACAAGGCAGTTTCCACAGGGTCTTTTAAGGCAGGGTAGGAAGCTAAGACATGGCCAGTCTTGTAGCTAGCTGTGAGGCACGGGGTATTGTGTAATAAGAAAACTAGTTGGAATCAGGAGTCTTAGATTCAAAGCCAACTCTATACTCTCCCTATGTAATCCTGCCCATTTCTGCTCCTTTAGGGCCAGTTTATTTCTTGTAGAAATGGAACACTTTTGTCACAAGGCTACAACGTAGAGTTTAACTGAGATATTTAATGCTTTTGTGCAAGTTACATTGTGAGTTATAAAGAGTACGTTGTCTTGGGATATAATTATCTATCATATGAACCATAAGTCACTGAGAAAGGAATGGTATGTCTAATCTAAAGTATTTCTTGATCACCTACTATGTTCTCCCTCCTGTGATCCATACAAGAATATCAACTGAGAGCAGGGACATTTACTCTTGGCATAGAGGAGGCATTCCATTAAGTATTTGTTATATTAATGAGAAAATAAAATTTCTGGATGAACACCACTATGCTAGGCATGGTTAGAATACAAGACAAATATTCATTACCCCGAGCCTCAAGGGGCTTATAACGAAGGTGTCTAGCCATAAATGCACAAAGAGCCGATGAAGTAAGCTGTGGCTCTAAGCAAGAGGAAAAGGCATGGTATAAAAAGCGTGTCTGCAGCCTTCATCAGGGGATCGAACCGGCAGGAACCTTTCCTCTCCTGAGCGCTGGGTGAGTTTATCTGCCTCCAGCCTCGCTTGCCCACTCGCATGCTCTTTGTATCAGCCATGGCCCCGGCAGGACTAGATGCCCACTCAGACGGGCTCAGCTGAAATGTGGACAGTGAAGGGGGTTATGGAGATGTGGGCAGAATTATGGGAAGCAGTGAGAGGTGGCAAGGCCCCCAGAGACAAGCCACAGCCGGAAACATTACCACCCAGAGAGGCAAAGGTCAGGGTGTAGGCCTGCAGGGAATGAGAGCCAGAGCTGGGCACAAGAGTCCTTGTCAATGCCAAGTGGAGCCAGTGAAAGTCTAATTCTGTGGTCAAAGTCAGCAGGAGTTAATGAGTGTTTGTATGCATTTGGTAGAGACACTATGTGTGGGTTTTCTGGAGGGCTAATGAGGAATTCCATTAATCTAAAAGGCTGGCTTTCTGAAGTGGGATCTACCACTCACTACCTTTGGGAGGAGCACGTGAAATGAGTATGAACTGGCTAACTCTTCCTTGACTCCTTGGCACTTACCACGCACAGCCTTCACAAGGTACCGAACAGGAGAAAATGGATTATGCCCTCAATAACAAGAGGCGAGTCATCCGCCTGGTTCTGCAGTGGGCTGCCATGTATGGAGACCTCCTGCAGGAGGATGATGTGGCTATGGCCTTCCTGGAGGTATTGGGCACGGCAGGGTGGGGGTCATCCCTTCCAAGAACGTACCTTTGTCCTACAATACCGGGACCTACCCGTAGGCTCAGTAGCTTTCCTGGAAAGACTGTAATCGCAAATTCTAGACTTTGTTAACATGTCCATTCATCAGAAAGGTGCTATAGAAAAAGTAAAGCAAAACATCATTCATTATCCTGCCATTTGAATTCAATAGCTGGTAGCACTTCAATGTATTTTCATCTAGTCTCTTTTTCTTTGTATGTTTTCTGTAGTTGTAATCACATAGTACCCATCATTTTACAGGGTGTTTTTTCCATTTAACTTTATATAAGGCTTTTTCCATGTCAGTACACTCTTTATAATAAAAGTTTCTAATGACCGTTGAGTAGCTATGCCACAGATACATTTATATGTTCCCACATTGTTGAATACATTTACATCATTTTCAGTTTTCACCTTCCTAGAATAATAGTGCAGTGAACATTTTTGTGCAAGTAGGTCTGTCCTGGATTATGTTCCTAAAAGTGGGATTACTAGATCAAGTGTCAGGTATTTTTGAGCAGAGCGAGGCAAATAATTTTGTTGAGGAATTACTAAAACAGGAAGTGCTAGACTGTGACATTAGTTCGTAACCACTGCTTTAACCTGAACTTCCCTGTTCCTTCCCATAGCTCTAGCCTCATGTCATAGCGTTGATTGTGGCATTTAACCCTTAATTACTTACTCTGTCCTCCAAAACTTAGATGAGGAAGGCAAAAGGCAATGTCACTTCCATTTCCAACTTTTTCAGTCTGGGGATTCTAAAATGAATTATAAGAAACACTGACACTCTCTCCTTTTTAATTGTATCATTTCACAGGCAGCGGGGTGAGGCAGGGAGGAAAGATGGATCATGAGACTCTCTCTCAAGGCTGTAGAATGAAGTATTTTGAAAATGTGTGGAATAAGGCTGGGCGCAGTGGCTCACACCTGTAATCCTAGCTCTCTGGCAGGCCGAGGCAGGTGTATAGCTCAAGGTCAGGAGTTCAAAACCAGCCTGAGCAAGAGCGAGATCCCGTCTCTACTAAAATAGAAAGAAATTAATTGGCCAACTAAAAACATGTAGAAAAAATTAGCCGAGCATGGTGGCACATGCCTGTAATCCCAGCTACTTGGGAGGCTGAGGCAGAAGGATCACTTGCGCCCAGGAGGTTGAGGTTGCTGTGAGCTAGGCTGATACCATGGCACTCTAGCCCAGGCAACAAAGTGAGACTCTGTCTCAAAAGAAAAAGAAAAAGAAAAAGAGAAAGAGAAAGAGAAAGAGAAAGAGAAAGAGAAAGAGAAAGAGAAAGAGAAAGGAAAGGAAAGGAAAAGAAAAAGTATGGAATAGTATTATCTTGGGGTCATGTGTTGACTCATGACCTCTACTCATGGAGTGCAAGACCATTTTGCCAATGAACCAAAGTGGTGGTTCAGGTGGCACTGCCATAGTTCTTACCTTCTGCTGGGGAGGCAACTGCTCTCAAGCCAAGCGGGCACACCTGCTGCTGCCGGGGGTCAGGACAGTTCCAGGAAGTCAGCGAAGAGTCCTCAGTTGGTAGCACAAACTCAGCATAAATTCAGAACAGTGCTGAAGACCATGTCTCCATTTTACCACCACCACTTGACTGGAATGAGTGGTAAATATTAAATAACCACCAAAGACTAAAAACATGTTAAAATGAATATTAAAATTTCCCTGAAAAAGCAATTGAGGTTAAAAAAAAAGTGCTCTTATGAGTGTAGACTGTAAAATGACCCATTCCAAAACATTGCATCACATTGCTTTTTATATAAATACCATATAAACGATTCATTTGCAATTTCTTTTAATAAATTGAATCTTTATTGAACATATCTAACATAAAATTTGTCATTTTAACCATTTTAAATGTCCAATTCAGTGGCATTCATTTCATTTCCAATGTCGTGCAGTCATTACCATGAACTATTTTGAAAACTTTTTCTCATATACAATTTTGAATTTAGACATATTATAACATTTTCTTTTTTCCCCTCTAGTCCATGAAACCATGGTCTGGAGATGCTGGGAAAACAGATGACATAGGGACATGTCTCTATTGCTCTTTACAGAAGCGTACGCCTTTTGCAGTTCTTGTTAAAAGCCTGTGACCTTTGCCAATTACAGGAGTTTTATGTGTCTGTATCAGATGATGCCCGGATGATTGCTGCCCTCAAGGAGCAACTGCCTGAGTTGGAGAAGATTGTCAAGCAAATGTAAGGAAGGGCTTAGCTTTTGGGGTGTGCCTTCATCAAGCAAGTCCTGCTTCACAATCAAAACCTCTTCCAAAAAGTCCTCTCCCCACGAGAAAGGTTAAAGCTGGTCTTCCCTTGGTCATGCAGTGTTCTGATTTGAGCAGGCTGTGCCCAGGGCACAAGGTGGTGCAGTAAGACCAGAACAGAAGGACTGAGATTCTGTTCAGCTGCATTTGTGCTGGAGGGCTGCCAGGAGACAGCCTGGGAAGGAAAAGAGCATGTGGGGAGTCCTGCTCAATAAACTTGGGTCCCTTAGGTTCAAAGCCCTGAATCCAGCAATAAAATGGTCAATGGTGTTTGAAGAAAGTTTGAAGGCAATTGCTTTTATAGAAAATTCAGTTTCGGCTGCCAAAGCTGTTGAGAGTGAATATTTGTCTCCTCTCAGTGAAAACAGAAGGTTTCACATGCTGTTACTATAGATTAAATATAGTACTAGAGAGTGAGTACACTACTAGACAGACTTCGAAAGCTAGAAATCCTGGCTTTGAACTTCAGTTCTGCCAGAGATCTGCCTATGACAATAGCTGATGTCTTTGCTGTCTCCCCCGTGTTTTGGGCTCTTAGTATTAAAATGAGGAAGCTCATATTGCCTCTTGAAGGGATACTGTGATTTCATTTTCTAATGTAAATCAAAGTTATATACAAATAAAGCAATTTAAAGTAATAGTAGCAATGGTATTAAATAATGTGCTTTCTCTCCTTCTCGTAGCTCAGAAGATGCAAAGGCTCCACAAAAGAAGGTAGGTGTCATGGAAAATTATAATTCTCCAGAATATTATATTGCAATGTATACATAAAACTGATTTCTTTTTTATATCGTCTTCGTTTCTTGACTCTACCTGCTTCTCAGATGTGTTTGCTCTGAGTTGCTGGCGTGTGTCAGTGAGTCTCCCTAATGGCACTTGCTGTGGTTATTGTTTTTGCAGCACAAAGTTCTTTTGCAACAGTTCAACACCAGCGATGAGAGAACCCAGAAGCGCCAGCCTATCCGTGGCTCCGATGAGGGTAAAAATTCTCTTCCAACACATGGTTGTGTAGATTATTTAGAATCAGAATAAATTCTTTTCCCCTGGGAATCATCACCTGGGACCCACAGAATGGCTTTCCTAGGAGATGCCCTGTTGCACCCCAGATGGTTTGCCTGGAGGTGCCCTGTTGCCGTCCGATTATTTATGTTCTTATTTCTACCTGGACCCAAGGTGCTTGTCCACCCTTCCCTGATTCTGCTTCTCCCCAACTAACACCTTTCCTTGAAGGAAATGAAGATTATCTCAGGGCCTGGTTGTCCAGGTGCCCCACCCCTGGGAAGAGCTGATGAGACGGTATGTGGCACCTTGTGGATGCCTAGGAGAAGGTAGAACACCGGGACCCCTGCCCAGGGACAGTGCTCTGGCCCTGACCACAGCCCTGTTAGCAGCCACCAGGGAGGTGAAATGCGGGCTTTTATTGTTTGGTTAAGATTTCTCCAAAGAATCATAACCCAAGATAGTCATGATTATAATGAGAAAATTTTCATTTTAAGACCCAAATGAATCTTGTCATTCAGACATGCCTCTAAACCCAAGAATTAGAGTAGCTGCCATGGCTTCCAGGATTTTTGCGTTCAGAAGTGAGCCCGTGGGTGCAGCGTACAAGCCTGGTGAGCTCAGTCTGGTGAGCTAAATCTGCTGAGCTCAACCCTCTCTGAGTTCTGATGCCCCAAGGACACAAACCAGGGAAGCAAACAAGCAGGAATGCCAGCCTATGCTAACAGCCCAGGCGGAAGCACTCCTGTTTGCAGAGGTGTTGATGTTGACTGCCCCTGGCCGCACAGGGTAGCAGTTATCCAGTAATCAGCTCACAATATAGCACAATATAGCACTTCCCCTTGAGTAAAAAAGAAAGGCTCAGAGAGAAGGGCAGACCCGAAACATTGGCCTAAAGATACTTCCCATTTTCTCCCATGACCTATTTGTGGGTTTTTCATCAATATCTGTTGTTGTTTTTTAAGCTGGGGTTGGCAGCCACGAGTATACCCATTCTCAGACCAAGGCTGAGGGTGAGCAGTTTTAGAAGGAGGCAGGCACTGGGGTAGACGAGTAAGAATAAATACAATAGTAAGGATGGCAAGGTGATGCAGATTTGGAAGATGCCTAAATATTTGGTATAGCTTGTGATATTTTTCTGGGTTTTTTTTGAGACAGAGTCTTGCTTTGTTGCCCAGGCTAGAGTGAGTGCCGTGGCGTCAGCCTAGCTCACAGCAACCTCAAACTCCAAGGCTCAAGCAATCCTGCTGCCTCAGCCTCCCGAGTAGCTGGGACTACAGGCATGCGCCACCATGCCTGGCTAATTTTTTCTATATATATATTAGTTAGCCAATTAATTTCTTTCTATTTATAGTAGAGACGGGTGTCTCGCTCTTGCTCAGGCTGGTTTCGAACTCCTGACCTTGAGCAATCCGCCCGCCTCGGCCTCCCAGAGTGCTGGGATTACAGGCGTGAGCCACCACGCCCAGCTTTATCTTGTGATATTTTTAAGAACTCCCGAAACTAACTTACCCCATTGTCACTGCCTTTGCGTAGTGCTGTTCAAGGTCTACTGCATAGACCACACCTACACAACCATCCGGGTGCCGGTGTCCGCCTCGGTCAAGGAAGTCATCAGCGCAGTTGCCGACAAGCTGGGCTCCGGAGAAGGCCTGATTGTAGTCAAGATGAGTTCCGGAGGAGGTAACAGCCCTAATCCTAATGAGCATTTTTAGTCTCAGCAAAATGGGACATCCTGCCCGGTCAGAAACCACACAAGGAGTTAGCGTGGCCATTTCAGGCCAACCCAGAAGTTTGAATTGGTGCTTATGAGTGCTCCCACAAATAACAGGACTGGTATGATTACAGGTGGGCTGGGTGTCCAATATCCACTATCTTTTAGGCTCCCACCCTGAAGCAGAAGGAGGTGAAGTGGTGTACCTGAGGCAGCTGGAATTGAGGGCTCTGATGTGGGTGTCCACCTGGAGTTCCTTCAGTACAAATCCTAGTCAAAAAAGCTCAAGGCCTTGGCGCCCTGAGCAACATGGACCCCAGGAGGGAACCCAGCTCGACAAGCTCAGCACGGGTCTCTCCAAGGCTGGGGTTGGAGGCTAATTCTTTTCAGCTGATGGTGGCTCCTCTCCGTACCGAGAAGAGAGGGCAGGAGCCCAGCTCATCAAACAAAATAAGGACTGTTTACCCCCACGGGATTACAATTCCTTTCATTGTCCCTAACTACACTATGCTTTCCTGAAATGTCATTCTTTTGTTCGTCATACGTTTACTGGCCACTTAGTGTGGCTGTGACATCTTAGAGAAGATGGGTTAGACACAGCCCGTGTCCCCAAGTCTCACCCAGGCGAGGGAGGAAGTAGGCAGTATGTAAACAGTTAGGACCCACTTTAAAATGCATGTTGGATTCCCAAGATCTCCTTTCCATTTCTGTCCCAGCTGCGCAGGGCCCGGCGTGCCTGCCCTCGCCGACCCTCTCTGCATGTTCTAGGTGACGCCCGCACTGCCCTTACATCCTTACCCAACATCAGTGTCTCACTGAGGCCGCCTCCTTCCTTTCCTTGATTCCCTGTCTAAAATGTTAACCTCTCTCCCTTACACAGCTTCCTCACCCCCTCCCCTGCTGCATTTTCCTCCTCATCTCCCCTCACTCTCTAATACATTGATCTACATTGTTCTTTGTCTGCATCTCCCACTATGGTGTAAGCTCTTTTTAGAATGGGATTTTTCTGTCTTTTTTTTTCTTTTGTTTGTTTGTTTTTAGCATGGTTCCTTCTGTCTCCCCAGTGCCTGGAGCAGTGTCTAGCTTGCAATAAATACCAAATAAATACTTATGAATGGACCAACTTTTTAAATGTAGGAGAAGGCTTAATCTAGTTAATAGTGTTGCCCTCCAAATTAGGGAATAAGTGCAAAAATAATAATAAATATTGCATCTAATGTTGCATGTGGGATCTCAGAACCCCTGTAAGTTTTTAAAAAGTGATCATTTCATCTCCAAAGTACTGGTTGTAATTACCATCTAGAAACATAACTTGTTATGTTAATAGCAAGTGTGGTTTTTGTATATATAGTAATTATGGCTGCAGCCCAGAACTGGGTGAATTGACCCTCTGGTATTTCCATTCCTGTTTTGTGGTCATTTCTGAAGGCATCCTGAGTGTCGTGGGGCTGCTGAGTGCTATGTCTTTTTTATTCAGTGGGTCCCTTCAGTACTATATTTTATGCAGTCGCTCTGCGTGTTCCGGTAATTCAGCAAGCTGGCAATTTGTTGGTGTGATTAGGGCAGTGCAGCAAATCTCAGATGTATTTAATAGGCAATCTCATGCTCTTTATGTTCACAGAAAAGGTGGTGCTCAAACCTAATGATGTTTCGGTATTTACGACGCTCACCATTAACGGACGCCTGTTTGCTTGTCCACGAGAGCAATTCGATGCACTGGTAGGTGTGGATCGCCTCCTCTGAGCAGCGTCTGCAATCAGCGAAACTTGTCTGGAGCTTCATTTTGCAGTCACATTGAACCTAGTGGCTAAAAATTCTTGAATGCTACTTAGCTTTTTCTTTTTCTGCGGCCTTTAGGTAAGCCTCAGGTGTCCATTTGAGATGCTCTGAGCTTTAGATTTTCTTTTGTGGAAATTGGCCAAATAGCACCACTGTGGGGCATAATTCAGCTTTCTTTGTTGTAATTTGCCTCATTGATATGTCCCCAACTTAAATATTAACATTAAAAATCTGAATGCTCACTAGGATGGAAATTATCTTTTTTTAAAGCAAAATAACACTATTTAGCAGATTCCTTTGCATTATGGCAAAGCCACCTTCTGGTCTCAGAGGAATGCTATTCCCTAAACGTGCTCTCTCTACCTTGTGTGGGAAATGCCAGAGGCCAGAACTCTTCCCCAAGTCTCCAAAACACTTATTCGGAGCCACAGGGAGCTTTCTGTGAATAAAAGACTAATCAGCCCACGCTAATAATTGAATAGCCTGCTCTCTTTTATGCAGGTGGTAGCCTTCGTTTCTATTTATCCTACAAAAAACTAGGCATGGAGGTGAGTAGCTATTAAAGTATCTTAGAAAGCCCATGGGGCCAGTAGAGAAAGTAGTTTTTTCCGTCTTTGGACACACAAGACTTCTCTTCTGAGAAAAGTACATCAGAAGAGCAAGAGCTAGAGGTAAACTGCATGGAATTTGGGGGAAAGAGTTTAACTATATAAGTGATGTATGAATAGGTTTCAAGCTTAATCAAATCAGCTTATAGGTAAATCAAGATTCTCCTCTTTGGACTTTTTAGAACCTGTTTTAGCCTCATCATAATCCCAATTTTGTCTTTTGGGGAGAGCCATTTTGCGCACTCTAGTGAAGTTAAGTGGATTTTCACAATATCTTGCATTCACTTGGAGAGAAACGTAGCAAATGTGGCATTAGTTAGTTCCCTTGCTAATCCCTCATCTGCAGGTTATAAGCACCCTCACCTTTCCTCAACCGCCAGTGCCATAAGACCTGAGTCTGCTCACAGTCCTTTTCATACATTATTAATATTTTAGTCACCCACACTCATTGCTTTCTAAATAGATATTTCCAACATTGAGGGGCTGAAAAAAAAGTTGTCACAAATGGGCCGTGCTGCCCTCTCCTGGAAAGGAAAGCCATCAGAAGCCAGTGTAGCTGTCGCCCTGAGGAAGGTGCTACGTGATGTGTTTATCACAGGGCGCTCCAGCCTCCCTTGCCAGCTGCTGCTTGGCCGCGGTGCAAACGACATGGGGTATAGACAGGGAGTGTGGACCGTCTTCAGCTCCCTGTGGGGCAGATCCTAACGTTTTAAGCCTCTGTTTATTTGCACACAATCATGCAGCCTTCCAAGTTCTTAGCCCTTGCTTATATTCCATTTTAAGGCCTCTGTAGTTGAAAGACATTTGCTCTGCAACCAGTACCCAGGACGTGAACGGCCTGCCTGTCACTGCTCTGCCGTGCGCTGTGCCGCGAGTGGCTGAACCTTACCTGCCTCACATAGCTGTAGCCGTGGAGCTTTTCTCTGGCTTTCTAAAGATTTCCTTTGAGGACAGTCCTTCTAGGAAGAGTCGTACAGAGGATGACTGTGCAATGCAGGATGTTGGCCAAACCCTTTGATCTATCAACACATGCTTATGAAGTGTCCGCTTTGCACTCAGTGCTGTGCTCGCTCCTGCGTGACACGAGCCCAGAGGCCCCAGAGCCTTTGTCCTTACAACTGTGGTCGAGTTCTCGAGAGGAGGCTAACACAAGCAGTCCGGAAGAGAACGAGTTTTAGGGTCACATTGCATTATCTAGAATTAGTCGAGTGCCAGCAATTTAGCCCAGTGGCTTTAGATTCCAAGGCTTTACTGTCTTGACATTTTATTTAAGTATAAATGTTAGTACAGAGCAAATTATAACAAAATTCCATCGTGCTGTAGTGTGGTTCTACTTTTATCCATTCATTGGTTCCTTCGACATTTATTTAGTGCCTACTACATCATTCCAGGCATTGTGGATGGTTCTGGCTCTGGGATGGTCTTGAAGATGAATCCATTGTGGTCCTTGTACCTCAAGAAGCTCACAGTGTAGTGAGGGACACCAGCATGTAATCAGTGAGAATCCATCGTGACCAGTGCCGTTGCAGAGCCGGGCACAGATGACATGGGAGCAGGAGGGAGGAAGGAAGGATGCTGGAGTGCAGCGTACTTTAGCCATCTCTTGTTTATGACCATGTTCCCTTCCTGTTCATCTCTGTACCTTGAAGTCATGTGTGTCGATGCTTCTGTCTATATACAAGCAAATGAGGGCCACCAGGCGACTGTGTCCATGTGGAGTGCTGTCCTCATTGGTCAGGTCTGCCTCGCTTACTCTGCAGACTCGCCCGTGCTGGGACCACCTACCTCCTGGACATACAGTTTCTCTAATGCCCAGAATGCAGTGAGCATTTATAGAATATGGCGGTTATTGTGATGATGATGAAGATGAAGATGGAACTTGTATAATATTAGTACTCCTGGCATGAATACTGAATATGCAAATATGGTTAGCATCATATTGGGGAAATAGTCTTTTCACTTTTGTGACTTTTATATCTTTGTAATATATATTGCCTATTTTATACATAGATGTTAATATATTATACATATATTTCCTGTGCATGCATTTATCTTACTAAGTAAAACACCTTTCAATAATTTCTTGTAAAATAAAAATGAGATAAGTAAGTCAGATGGAAACTTTTGATGGGGGGTCTTCCAGAAAGCAGCACACTCTGATCTTCTAATGTCTGGCCCAAACACCATGACCATGTGAATACCGTTCTCAGCTAACATCTGCCAGAGAGTGGAGGAGTCCGACGTCCCGGAGTTCTCATCACCTAGCGCCCCCAGAGGGTGGGTTATAAGAGAGGGCAAGGCAGCAGCTTCGCCATAGTCACCAGCAGTAGGAAGTGGCACTGTGGATGAATGTCCCAAACTGCCATCCCAGTACCTGCTTTGGAACAGCATCAGTGAGAAATGGGAGGAAAAAAGGTCTCCTAGAACTTCTTTCCTTCTTACTGAGAAAAAGAAGAGTTTCCAGGGAGCTCTCAGGCCTGAGGGGAGGAGAACCCCCACAAGGCAGGCTTCACCAAGTCCTGGTTACCACGGTCCTGGTTTTTCAGTCAGTGGAGCTGATTATAATGATGATGATGGTGGTTATAAAGATGACACGGAAGTGAATAGCATTTAGAGCAAAGGCATCTTTCTCCTCTGAGTAAAATCAAAATTTCAGGATATTCTTGAAAGCATCCATCTCTAGAATCCTTTCCCCTCAGAAGCTCCTGAAGGCATTCATCCCTGAGTACTTGTCTGTGTGTGATTCTGATATATTTTTTTGCATTATTATTCATAGACTCCCTTGCCAGAACAGGAAGGCCCAACTGTTGGAACAGTGGGAACTTTTGAACTGATGAGCTCCAAAGATTTAGCATACCAGATGACACTTTATGATTGGGAACTCTTCAACTGTGTGCATGAGGTAAGGTGCCCAGTTGGGTGCATTAGTAGATACGATAGCAATTCCCGATGAAAGCTGCTGGTGTTGCTCAACTGTGAGTGTTAATAAGTGCTACAATATGGAAACCACATGAACAAAATTTTTCCGCACATTGAGTTTATAAATAAAGCCTGTTATAAAGCCTTTGAGTATTAAAGAGAAATCTTTATGATTTACAGTATGCCATGTCTTCCTGAGCATATTAAACCAATAGCACCTCGTTTATATTTTTATATTTCACAAGCCTCATGGAAGCCCTTCAAACATACAGAGCAAGTTGCATCCCGGGCAGTGACTGAATGCAAATTTGCTGATGGATAAAACACTATCCTGACAAATAAGAGAAACCGAGCTGGTGTTTTGAGTTAAAAACAAACAAATAAGTGATATTGTTTTCCTTTCTTTTCTAGCTGGAGCTAATCTATCACACATTTGGAAGGCATAATTTTAAAAAGACCACAGCAAACTTGGATTTGTTCCTGAGGAGATTTAATGAAATTCAGTTTTGGGTTGTCACTGAGATTTGCCTTTGTTCCCAGCTCAGCAAGCGTGTTCAGCTATTAAAAAAATTTATTAAGATAGCAGCCCAGTAAGTATCTCTAGCTCAGGAAGCGGGAAAAAAAAAACAACTTTGGAGCTGTGTTTTCACTTTTTTTCTTAGACTACACCTTTAAAAAGAAAGCAGGCTATGGGAACCACTTATGCATAAGGACCAACCACAAGGGCTCAAGAATAACTGAACTCTTGTAAATGATGAATTTCTTCTAGCTTTTGTGATATTTGATATCGATTATATAGATTAACTTCTGACAGCACTGATACTGGAGTCCAAATTGTGACCTCTTTTTGTCTCTGAACTACTCAGACTTGTTTGCCTTCTTTAATTTAAAGATTCCTTCAGTAAACAAAGTTCTGTTGTGGAAAGTTCTGTTTCAAAGGCTCTTCAAGTCCATGTCCAGCATGACACATTCTCACCAGTAGAGGGCAGTAGAACACGCGCGTACAACAGCACATCCAGCTCAGCCAGAATAAAATCAGTAAAATGCATAAAGGCGAGCTAACCTGGTACATGAAAACCATCCCGATAAACATCAGAAAAAGCAAGCATCTTATAAATATTCTATTTAAGAGCACTTCATGGGAAACAATTTCTTTACTGCAGGGGCCAGTTAGGTTTCTCCCTGACATGAATTTAATCTTCTCCTGCTATTTAGATATGCCTGACAACCTCCTGTTTACTTCCATGTTTTTGGTATCACCACAGTGCTAAAAATAAAATGCTAAATGTGGCCTGTGGCTGTGAGACTTCTTTCCTTTCTAAAAGCAGGGAGCTCTAGCAGAGGAAGGTTGAGAGCACAAGTGACCCCAGCTAGGCAATTTTCTTGAGCCAAACAGTTTAGATCCCACATGAATTTTGATTTCCTGGGCTAAACAAAGATGTAAAGGCTCCTTGACATTTTATAGATATCAGTTTGCCAAATGCCTTGAGTTATTTTGCCAAAAATTTGAGGGTTCAGCAGAATACCAAATCCCTTGGATTCAAAAGCTGTTGTCTCTTAATATGGAAAAGCCGGCTGTTAAAGAAAGATTTGGTAAAATGTTGCTTATGGATTTCTGGTTCAGAGGGTAGCCACTTTCGCTAGTAGCCTGCACAGCCTCATTGCTAGGGACAAATGCCTTCACGTATTTGGATGAGTTGATTATGGAAACTAGGACAGTGCGTGCTTCCCCGTGTTAAGGAGCACATTCTCTCTTCACCTTAGCCTGGCAGTGCCCAGTGCAAGGAGGAAAAGAGACAATCTGCCTTCTGCAGCCTAATCCTGTTATTTTACAGAGGCGGCATAGGGCAGCCTTTCAAAAAACCTATGAATTTTTTTTTTTTAATATTTTTGCTTTTCTCATCCCTCTTCCTTCTGCTTATATGAAGGATTAGGTGAACTTGGCCTTCAGGATAAACTGGTTTGCTATTTAACCATTATTAAGCCCTATACTGAGCTTGCTGTCTTATAGTGGAACTGTTTACACAGCCCAGCCGGAGAAGATTGTAGACTTTCATAAATCTGAGATCTACAAGAATGAGATCCAAACCTAGTGGCAGTTGCATCTGTTTTACTTGATATTTTTAGAGAACTAAAGCATATTCTGTTCAAGCTCTTTGCCCTGCCCAGAATTTTGTGAAATTTAGGGGGAAGGAGGGCAGGTGTTATATCCCTTTGTTTCCATAAGAGGAGACTGAGGCATGGAGACATTTTGTGACTTACTTGGGATGATAAATTTAGTTGGCAACAGAGTAATGACCAAAAAGTCAGGTCTACAGTCCTGCATTTATTCTTCCAAAATCACATAAACAAGACAAAGGCCAACACATGTACATGATTGTACTCACTGCCTTCAGCCCTGGGTGTCTCCTAAATAACTTCCAGCTCCTGACCTGAGGCCACTGTCCCAGTACGCTGCAGGCCTCTCTTGCTTTCCCACACATGGGACCACACAGACTATAGCTTCTCTGAAATATATTTTCCCATTTTTATACAGACAGCTTAAGAATTACTCATTGCTATCTTTGCAAACAGAACATGGGTAGCAAATGCAACAACTTAATTAGCCTTTTTCAAAAATGTTAATCCAAAAAAGATTTAATTATGATGTAGTCAACTTAGATAACCATGTTGATTTGGGTGAAGGATTTATGCTTATTTCAGAATGAGTTCTTTCCCTTTTCAGGAGCCTAGTATGAAGAAGTTAGTGGGTTCCCTTTTATAAAAAAAAAAATTAAACCAATACCCAGATTAAACATCATCATTCTAATAAAAATTCCTGATCTTGTTCCACATGTCTCATCCTTAAATAATATATTCATGAAAGCTAATATTGGCATAAGTGCAGATTTTAAATGATCAGTTTCATCAACATAAGTAAAAAGAGAAAATAGGATTATTTTTGGTTAATTGTTTAGGTTATTTCTCAGCTTTAAAATTCCTTGAGATTAGGTGACCAGCCTATAGGGATCATGCCTTGTAAGTTGATGTTTTTCAACAAATTATTATAGAAGCATTTGCATGGCAGGTAAAGCCATGGTGGCTGCAGCAGTTCCCTCTCAAGTTGCCAGGGGAGGGAGTCCACCTGCAGGTTAAAGGTCTGGAAGTCTCCAAAGACACTTTCTTTCTCTCTTCCTGTCCCATGAGATGTTTCCTTCGAGGTCTAATAAGGCTTTTTGCAAGTTTGGGGTTATAATATTAATAACAATCCCTAGAGTAAGTGTCTTTAATTTCCTTCTCAAAACCCAAACTTCAACTGCCAAAACCATCAACTTTCTTTTGGTTTTTTGTTTGATTGCTTTTTAAAAGATAGGGTCTTGTTCTGTTGCCCAAGCTAGAGTCTAGTGGTGTCATCATAGCTTACTGTAACCTTGAACTCCTGGACTCCTCCCCCACAGCCTCCCAATTTAGCTGCCAGTAAATCTAAGCTGGGACTACAGGTGTGTGCCATCGTAACCGGCTAGTTTTTATTTTTTATTTTTGTAGAGATGGGGTCTGACAGTGTTGCCCAGGCTGGTCTTGAACTCCTGGCCTGAAGCAATCCCCCCCGCTTCATCCTCCCAAAGTGCTGAGATTACAGATGTGTGCCACCACACTGGTCCCAAAACCATCAACTTTTTAAAATTACAGTGAGAAATCAAACAGCAGAATGTGGTTACCCAAGTGGAACTTATACAGTGCATTAAATCTATCATTGCCTGTTCTCATAAAAGGAGTCCTGACAAATATTAATGATGATCAGAAAATAGAACTCTGATTTTTTTTTATCTCACTCAAAAGTGGCACTTTGCTCAAATATGTGCCTCTTGTGTTTCAGCTGTAAGGAGTACAAAAATCTGAATTCCTTTTTTGCCATCGTCATGGGACTAAGTAACGTTGCTGTGAGCCGCTTGGCACTAACGTGGGAGGTAAGCTTCAGCTGAGATCCAGCTGTGACTTTTGCCTTAAGAATAAAAACACAGGCTCACCAGTGAGCTTTTTTATAGAAATATCACTCATACTAGTATAACAATGGAAAAGGTGGGACACTTGGAGGGAGGTGACCTGCCTCCTTTTTCTAGTTGCCTCACAGTGAGAATTTTAAAAGGTATTGTCCCTTTTTGTATAGGGTGGGGGGGGGCAGGGAGGATGAGGAGTTGGCAGCTTCTCCATATATACAACATATAATAGTTAAGTCCAGCCTCAGAGTGACACGGAGGAACAACATTGCTTGGTTAACTTCAAAAGTGCTTTTGCTCGTAGATTCTATTGTTCTCTGAAATGTCTGCTTATTGCTTTTGCGATAAGCCTTATCTCTGATTGAGAGAGGGCAGAAGATCCATTTTCATCCAAGTAGTCATTTTGCTCCCGAGAGAAATAGCCAGGGGCCAACCGTGCAGAGCGACTGAGCGCCGAGTGTCTTTTGACCACCGCGCAGACGTCTCTCTCTGTGCGGAAGGACATCAGTTGGCTAGTATTCAGTCTGGGGCAAAAGTGATGCAGGTGTGTTGGGAATTTCTGCAACAAATAGGATGAGTGGTTTGTTGATAGTTGGCTATTCAAGCTAGAAAACACTTTCATTAATTATTAGCTTAGTACTCGCAATGTGCTTGACCTCTTACACGTGGGGTACAGTTGAAGAAATACTAATCTCTAATAGCCCATACACACAGAAATAGACTCTTACTAAAAATAAAAAAGTGTGTGTAAGTGGGACACAAAAAGAGGACAAGGAGTATATATTAGAGACCCAATTTGCAACGGTGCCGAAAGGCAGCTGTTTGCATCTCGAAGCGTTTTCCTTGAAATTATTTGCTTCCCCATTTCCCTCTTGAAACTATTTTCTTTTTCTGTCCCTCTTAAATGTTTCCATTGTTTCTAGGGCAGGTCCTTACAGGTCTTTCTGTCTTGGGTTTCTCTTAAAATTCCAGGCAGATGCAGCACACAGCAGCTCATCCCCTGAATATAGGAATGAGGGAACTGGTGCGGCCTGCGGGCCACGCGCTGTATCATCTTCCAGCCAGTAAAAGGCCAGAGTCAGGGCTGCCAGTAAATCTAAGCAGCGAAGCCATCGTGCACCGCCCCCAACCCCTGTCTTATACCCCAAGGCTCTTGGGATTTCTGGAGACCTAGGGTTCTCCCTCAGGTCGTCTGCTTTCCCTGATCTGCTTCCAGCTTTGAATCCCCTCCTCCATACAGTCCAAATGAATTGGTTGGGAAAATTTTAAAAAGGCATAAATCCTCATATAGGTCCAGGGAGCCAGGTGTAGGCAGCACACAACAGCAGCCCGACACTAAGACCACAGCACGTGGGAAACATTATCGGAGCCCCTTTCCTGGTCTAAAGAGCAAACCAGGAGGCTACCGGGGAGGATGCAGTCAGCCAAAGGGGACTGCTATTTCATATTTGGCCAATGGGCCCGGCCTTCAGTTTCACCGGGGGTAGGAGTGCTAGGAGTCCAGGAGCTTCTGTTTTCAGCATTGCCTCTTACTGAAAAGACAAGATTAACCTTTCATCATTTACAAGTCTTTATTTTTTAAGGTGAAATGTAATTATAGAATTCTATAGGAGAGCTTTGCTACATAAGCATCTTTGATTCTGGTTTATGTGCCTGTGTTTGCTCAGAATGTCCCAAAGGCCTCCCATATAACTCTAGTTGTCCCACGGAGTACCACGTGAGCAGTATGAGAAACGGTGCCTGAACTCAAGGAACTAGGGAACAGGTGTGAAACAGTTGATGAGCAAAACAGAGCATAAAGCCAAACCACACAGTAAAGGAGAGCATTTGAAGTAGAGGGGAAAGGCCAATCTAAGAGGAAGCAAATGAGTAATGACCTGGAACAGAGCCTCAGCCTCATCACTGTTGACACTGGGGGCAGGACAGGCCTTTGCTTTGGAGCTGTTCTCTGCATTGTAGGACGCTCAGCAGCATGCTTGGCCTCTACCTGCCAAGATGCCAATGGCACCTCTTACCACACTTCATCCCAGCTGTGACAACAAAACCTGTCTGCAGACGTCACCAAATGTCTCCTGGGTTTGCAGAGCAGCCCCCACTGCGAACACTGCTCTGGAAGCATGAGGTGTGGCTAGGTGATAGTACTGAGAATGAAACATTTTCTATTCCTATGTGCCCTACTGCCTTTGATCTAAAAGCCAGCTAAAGAAAGAGAACTAGAATGTCAGAGGTCTAACCAAAAATATAATTCACTCTTAATTTTACAAATGGACCGTGTTCACTAAGTCCATGTTATTGCCTAACGTGGTGATGTGGATACTCTTAGGGTATGAGATCCCTGCATCCCTTCATGCCCATCCCAGCTTTCAGGCCCTTGAATAGTTCCTTTAAGTGGGGATATCGGGTTCCCTTGAAACCTAACTGGAAAAGAGGTACCGGGAAAATGAGTTTGGAGGATATGTAGGAGACTAGTTTTTTTAGAAACAAAGTTAAGACTTTTTACAGATATTTTCATGGGAATATGACAAACTGATTCAGATATGAGAGAGAAAGAAAGCAAGAGAAGCTTTTCTGTGGATTGCAGGGCCTGACTGATGCAGCAGCTGTTGAGGACGGGCTTCACTGTGCAAAGCAGAGCTGAGTTGGGCATCTCTGAGGCCCAAGACTCGCTGTGTGCCTTCCCAGTCTCGGGATGGGAAACATATCACACTGCTCTCTCTTGGTATGAACAGAAAAGTGGAAAGTTCTGCTTTACTAAAAACTCAAGGCCAGGCATAGTAGTGCACCCTTGTAGCCCCAGCTACTTGAGAGGCTGAGACAGGAGGATCACTTGAGCCCAGGAGGTTGAGGCTGCAGTGAGCTATGATCATGCCACTACACTCCAGCCTGAGTGACAGACCAAGACCCTGTCTCAAAAACAAAACAAAAGCCAGGAACCAAGCAAAGTGAAAACCAATAAATAATTGAAAGTTAATTCAGTATTGACCTATTGGTATAGACATGTGGGTGCTTTAAGTGGTGTTGAATCATTTGCCAAAATATAAACATGAGAAATCAGTAAATTGGTAGAACTGTCAAAGTTCGTATTACAGCAAGGCAGAGAAATCATGCGGGAGAAATGCTTGTGTCGAAAGCGCAGAGCATACAAGAGAGGTAGTAGGAAAGGAGGCAGTGGGTGTGTATGACAGAGGCCCTGGTGATCATTAGCTGTGCGACTTTGTGCCCATCATCCAAACTGTGAGGCTTAATTTCTCCCATCCGTAAAACATAGGCTAATCCATTGGAACGGATGCTTGTTGAGCACCTGCTATGTCCCCAGCAGTTTTCTGGACACTGAGGAAATAGCAGTAAATAAAACTAATGGAAATCCCTGCTCCCATGTAGCTTACCTCGTAAGGGAGGAGGAGAGTTGAAATTAATTGTTTCTTAAGCTCTTTTAATTCTAATATTCTCTGGTCTAATTTCCAGATTGTGGGAATCAGAGAGTTAAAAAGGGAGGTGGTGAGGGGGGACCACTGCTAGGCTGGAGAATGCAGTCCTGTTTATGGATCATCCAGTGCAGAAAACGTTGTAAAAGCAGAAAGACCAAAGCATTCACAGTTACTTTTGTTTCAGTTCGGTTAAAGACTTTTAAAAGGCAAGTTGTCTGTATTCCAGAAGATCATTCTCAAATGACAGGGCAGATTACAGTCCAGCCTGTCTCAGCGATGTTTGATTAAGAGCCAACAGAAATACATTTCCCCTAGAAATGGGAGCACATGATACATATCTAGATATTGAATCTGACATATGCGTGTGGCATTTTCATTTCATTAACAGAAACTGCCAAGCAAGTTCAAGAAGTTCTATGCAGAGTTTGAAAGTTTAATGGTAAGTGACAGTGGCTCCTTTATTCTGTTCACATTGTCTGCATTAATCCAGTTTCTGATTAGCTGAATTGAAGTTCTCATTTCGGAAATTTTATCTGTCCTTGTCTGACTTTAAGAAGTTTATGATCCCTTTTAGTGCTGCTAAAACAAGCATGTCTGCCTAATGAATGGCACCCGCAGGAACTAACTTAAAGAGGACTTATGTCCCACATAAGGTCAATTTGTGTAACTAAGAAAAGCAGTGTAATAGGGTCCTCTTCGTCTGGCTCAGGTCGGCTATGGGTTGGCAGCTGTATTTTCCTTGGCTTGCCAAAATTATTTTTCCCCATTGGCTGGGAGGCGTTAACAGACACAAAAGGAGTGAGTGGGACCTGCCAGGAGTGATGGCTGGTTGCAGAGGGCAAGCTGGGACTGGGAGGGCTGTGCAGGGGCAGAGGGGAGGGTGAGCCAAACGCCAGGGAAGCGAGCAGGGCTTCAGGAGAAGGGGACTCCTGTGGTTGAGGTTTCACATGTTTCCTATTTGCTTTCCAAGGCAATCTCTCCCCTTGGCCCCTGTAGACAAATCTTATCAAACAAGAAAAAAAGCAAAATATTTTCATGCCATATGTGAAGTTGTTTTAAAACAAATCGATTTGTTTGATTAAGTCTACTTTTCTTTTGTATCTACACTTAATTCAAATACCCAGTTGAGCCTTGAACAATGTGGGGGCTGGGGGACTGACTCCTCTCCCCTACGCTTACAGTCAAAAATCCGCATGCAACTTTTTGAATCTCCAGAAGCTTACTGTTGACCTGGAGCCTTACCAACAACATAAACAACCCATATTTTGTATTTTATATGCATTAATATTATAGGCTGTAGTCTTACAATCAAGTAAGCTAGAGAAAAGAAAATTAAGGCAATCATAAGGAAGAGAAAATATATTTTACTATTAATTAAGTGGAACTGGATCATCACAAAGGTCTTTGTCCTTGTCATCCTCACGTTGAACAGCAGAGGAGAAGGAAGGGAAAGGGTTGGCCTTGGCGACTTGGGTAGCAGAGGCAGAAGAAAATCCACGTTTAAGTGGACCCACGCAGTTCAAACCCATGTTGTTCAAGGGCCAAGTGTACCTGATGGTGGGGTAATGAGACTGGGTGTATTAGGAGATAACAAAGGGTGGTGTGTCACTGGTCATTGACCAGCATCTCTTTGTCTCTCCTAAGGATCCTTCAAGAAACCACAGGGCCTACAGGCTGACAGTGGCTAAGCTGGAGCCTCCTCTCATCCCCTTCATGCCTTTGCTCATTAAAGGTAATCCTAAGAAAATGCACGGGCCAAGCCGGCGATGAGTATTCGGGGAGGCAAGTGAGCACTATCCTGTTCAGATTGATCTCTTTGGGAAGAATGACCGATCTCATCCTTCGGTTGTCTCTGTCATCCCCGTCAGCCATGACCTTTCTGAAAGGGTTGGAAGATAAACTGGGGGTTCAGGGATCCATGGTTTGGAAGACTTGCTAGGGGAACAGAAGATTAGTTTAGAAATTTTACTAATCTCAGGTAAAGTGATTTAGAAAGTTAAACACCTAGCATAAAAGGAACTATTATCAGCTTTTTTCAAGTGCAGTGTTATGCAAATCCACCAGCATAATCTAATGGTGCTATTGTGCTTTCTTAGTATGACATATTTCGGTTAGTGATTAGAATGTGGCTTTTATTTCTTTACAGATATGACATTTACTCATGAGGGGAACAAGACGTTCATTGACAATCTAGTAAACTTTGAAAAAATGGTATGTGCGGTATTATAACTTTAACCACAATGTTTTTTTAAAATAAAATTTGCATTTGTACTAATAAAGGAAATAATTTCCATATACGCTGCCATGTTGAAAAGGTAGTTACACATAAAGGAGTTTTGAGATATTTGGTTCAAATTGGCTACCTTTTCTATTCTGTCAGTTTTCTTTTGTGAAATTGAATAGCATTTGTGCTGTGGCTCACAGCAGCAGCTAGCTTTTATGCTGTACGTTTCGTCCTTGGCTGCCTGTTGCTAAAATGCACAAATGTTCCAGAGTGACTTACATGTTGTTGTTTTGTTGTAAGGTTTGTGGAGCTGGACTGCCCCAGGATACCTTTGAAATGTTTATCTGCCAGGCCTAACTTTAGCACACATAGGCAAAAGGCAGCTCTATAGATTTTCATTATGGAGGATTAATCTAAATGTGTATTGCGTATCTCAATAAAATTCACCTAAGTCCAGAGAGGGGATTTGAAAATCTTCATAACCAAAAAAAAAATTTTTTTTTAAATAACATATGTGGAAATGGCATATATCCAGTATTTTCTAGCCTTTCTCCTACCCCCTACCCCCCCACACACCAAAAAAACCAACAGTGTTATCTGGCATTAGTTACTTTTCTTATCTTCGGTGAAGCAATAAAGCAGGTCATGCCAAAACCTTTCTGTAGCTACATAGTGCATGTTAATGGAATGATCCATTGTCTTCTGAATCCCTTGGCTGCAGCCTGGACGGATGGAGTGTTATAGTGTTTTATCTCAGCGTGGGTACGAGTCTGCCCGGGTTATGATTTTCAGTGTGACCGTGGCACTGTGGGAAAAGCCCAAGACTGGGAGTTCAGGAGACCTGAGGTTCATTGCCCATTTGCATCACTGTGTAGCTGTCCCTTCACTTCTCTGGGGGTCAGCTTCCCCAACAGAAAGATGGATCATGCCTGATCCGTTAACCACTCGATTATTGGTAGGTCCATGCTACGTAAGTTTCCCTATAAGCCATAAATTCTTAAAGAATTGTTATCATAAAACTGTTATGCAAATTTTTCTTAAAATCAAGCTAGTGTGTGTGACTCCAGGAGAATTTGAAACGCCTGCAGTAACCCTACAAGGATCAGCACCACTCGGCTTCAGGAATGAGTTTACTGCAAAGCTCTACCTGGTAAAGTGCAGTGATGACCAGGCACTGGGTTCCCATGTCTTAAGCTTCTTAGGAAATGGCACATGAGTACACACTCCTCAAAGACACTCTGTCCTAGAGGGCAAACATGTCCTCAGCAGTCTTCCTCCTCTCCCCTCACACCAAAGGTAGGGCATGAACATCTCTATCCCTGCCTCAGTTTAGTAATTTTTTGATCAAAGCAAAACACATTCTTTGTTCACTTGTTAGTGTAGAGAATTAAACAATTTCCCTGGTATCACAAAAGAAAATGTGTTCTCTAGAAATGAAAGATTTAGCAAATGGGTAAAGAACCTTCTGGATCATTTACACAGAAATGCAGACTACGGCATGGCTAAGCCAACTGTTTAGCTATAAAATATATGTGTGCACAGAGACATAGAGGCCAAGGTTTCCTGAAGAGCTGACCAAGATTTATAACTTTTGATTGTTAAAATTAACTAAACAGAACAAACAAGAACAGCAAAGTATGCAAAGCCAGCCGTCTGTCAGGGTGGATAAAAGGTGTTTCATCTGGGTTTTTAGATCTTGGTGTTCCATCTGTAGCCTGCAAGGAAAAGTCAAGATCCCATTCAGTAGGTGCTAGGAGAGTGCCATTCTCTACCCACTTCTGCACTCTATAGCCGCTGCAGTGGGTCTTTCCACTCCTAGCAGCACGGAAAGGAATCCTTCACGCCTTGCTCTCAGAGAGTCCACTTGTGCTGAAAAGCAACTGAATATCTAAGATAGCAAGCAGTTCACCTGCAGTTATGGAAACCTAAATTAATGATGGCACGAGCAAAATCAAAGTGTTTCTTTCTCGTTTAAAAGTCCAAGCAAGAGGCTGGGCACAGTGGCTCACGCCTGTAATCCTAGCACTCTAGGAGGCCGAGGCAGGAGGAGTGTTTAAGCTCAGGAGTTCGAGGCCAGCCTGAGCAAGAATGAGTCCCCCGTCTCTACAAAAAAAAAAAAAAAAAAGTCCAAGCAGGGATGGCAGCCCTGCTCCAGAAAACAGTCAATATTCCAGGCTTCTCTCTTGACATTTTATCATCCTCATAGTTCAAGATGGCAACCACTACGTCCCTATTCCAGCCACAGGAAAGGGTAAAGGTGAAGGCATGCTTCTTCCCTTTAAAAGTGGGAATGAAGTTGCACTCACCACTTGCCTCTTATTTTATTGTCCAGAAACTTGGTCCCATGAAAGGAAGGCTAGAAAATGTAGCCCTTATTTTGAGTATCCGTGTGCCTTCCTAAAAATTGAGGGGTTCTATTACTATGAAAGAGAAGGTCAGAAAGGGTATTAAAGGCATACTGTTAGATCTTTGCTCCAGCAACTTTATTTCATCTGACACATCATACCGTGAGAAAGTTTGACTTTAGGATTGCCCTTCCATCAGTTAGATGTTCCTGGAAAAGGAAATAGAATTTCAAAAAGATTTGATTATCTAAACCTGATGCTTGTTGCCAACTTTCCAAAAATTTTTCCCCATAAATTCACCCACCCCTACCCCCCTGACATCCCCACTACCACTAGTGGCTGCTGTTACCACGTGTGTCTTGGGGAAGGATGCATCCTCCTGTTCAGGTTGATGTCAATGCTATTTCCCAGTCATCCATCAGCAAGGCCCAGGTGGTGAGCAGAGCTGGCAGCTTCTGTGGAGCTGGTGGGCTGTGTCCCCAGAGGGAGTCCCTGCCAGGAGCAGAAGTCACCAGGGTAGCCAGGAACACAGATGCCATTTCTAGGTGGCAACACTGTACAGTCCCAGCAAACCACTGTGCCAACCCTAAGTACTTTTATTTTGAACCTCTTCACCCTTGAGGTATGAAATGAGGATTAGAGAATTTGTCGCATATTGGTTTTCAGGATTTATGGGTATGAACAAAAGAGAATTCACACTCTGATCCTTATGCAAAAAAAAAAAAAAAAAAGCAGACATTCTTTCATTTGGAGGAAACATAAAGGAGTATTCAAAAAAATGTTTGAATAAAGCCCTTCGTAGCTTTCTATGGCATACATGAATATTTATAACATTTAGGAGGTAGACTAGCAATGGATTAGAGGACAATGTGCTGGCCGGCTGCCACTGTCCCAGGCTGCAGAAAGCATGCTGATAGGCACAGTTGCTACTGTATTAGGAGGTTGGTTCTATTTCAGACATACCCATATTTAGGTGCATTTATTTATAAATGTGATTTTTAAGGTAGTCATTTTATTTGGAATGAAAAGCATGGGGCAAACTTCTATACTTCTGGAAACAGTACAGAAGCTAATTCATTAAGGGAAAGAAATGTTTTGAATTCTTTTATTTTTATATCACTAAGCATGTCATTAAATAATTAGAAAACAATATGTTTTCTATCACCAATAGTATTATTATAAGATTCATGGAGAAAGCACCGGACTTGTTACCTCAAGCTATGGAAGAAAGAATCCCTAAGTAAAAATCCACACGTTCAAATCCACCCTATTCCCAGGCTTCCCCAACACAAAGGAAATCTACGGGAGTACTTTGAAAGTTTACTTCTTTACACAGACTTCACAGGCCAGGCTAAATGCAGATTTTCCAAAGGCTTGCTTCAAAGCAACGCAACATGTGTAGAGTGTCCAGGCAGAGGATCTTACTAAAAAATATAAAATATCTAGAAAGTAGCCCTTGGCCTTCAGGAGATTTGATGCAGTTGGGAAGATAAAACATATCCACATGAAATATGAAAAATTAACAAAAGGATATAAAAACTAGGTCACACTAGTAATAAAAGATGTCAAAAAGCAAAAATATAGGAAAGAGAACTTCATGCAGATATATCAATGGAAAAATAAAACCATGTTATGTACAATAACATAATATAATAAAATCTAGACTGGTTGCCCTAAGCACCTGTCCAGCCTCATCTCACACTCTGTCTCCTTTGTGTTTAGTCCAGGTTGGCAAGACTGGCCTTTTTCTTCTCCTTCCAGCCCCAGGGCCTTTGCACTAGCTGTTACCTTTGCCTGAAATTGTCTTGCCCCTAGTCTTCAGCTATGTGGCTCTTTCTCATCATTCAGGCCTCAGCTCCTGTGTCCCATCCTCTAAGTGGTCTTCCCTGACCACCCTTGTAGCATGGCTCCTCCACACCCAGCACTCTCCAGTGGGTAACCTCACCTTGATAGCTGGTTTCACATGCTGGGATGATCTTCTTTACTTGCCTCTTCATTGTCTGTCTTCCCCACTAGGTGTGAGTGTCCCAGACCAGGTGTCTTATCTGTTTTGTCCACTGATATTTCTCTCGCACCCATAAAGATGTCTGGCACATTCTAGGGATGCAAGAAATATTTATTGAATAAAAGAATAACCCAGTTATATTCCAGTGTTGAACTTAGGCAAGGCAGGACACTGAAGCATTTTTAAAAGATTTTGGGTAGCAAAATTTAATCCAAGAGTGTTTTCTATTTTATTAGAAATTTTGATTAACCAGAACGTCCCCAAAGTATTTTGCATAACAGAGATGTTATGAAAGATGACCTTCCCTTAGCCTTCTGTTCCTAACTGGACATTATTCCGTCTCCCCTTCACTCTGCAGTTCTGTGTCTGTCCTCACAGTCCTTCTCTGGGTACAGAGATGTGCACATACTCTACATGTGCCTGGACAGGGACCTGAACTACCGTATCTCATGGCCATGATATGTACGATGGACTGTGAGCATCACGCATGTGTTACACAAATGTATCCATGTGTCACACACAAAGATCTATGGCCAGGAGGCAGGGCACAAGGCTCCTCAGTGACGCACACCGTGAAGGCTGGCTCTGCTCCTGGGTCCCTTTCACCTTAGTCTCCCTGTGCACTTCCATTGGGTTGCCATCATGGGCACAATCTTTCTTAGATGAGAGACTGCATATTTCTGGATCTTGTAGTGCAAAAAAAATTCTTGTCCCAAACATGTGGAAGTCTGAATGAAATAATCAGATGGTGCAAATGTAGTAGAGGCAGAAATATAAGAAAAAGCAATCTGGCCACATTAAGAACAAAGGTCATAAGGCCAGGGGCAGCAGAAACAAAGATAAAAACTGTTCGAGACAGGCATTTAGAAGAGGCCTGGGGTCAAGGAGCTCTGCGCGGACCCCAAGCAGAGAAGCAGAGCAGCCTAAGGCGAGGGAGGCTGACTGGCGGCCGTCTGGGAGTGGGAGGTCCCAGAGTGGCACCACGTGAGGCGGCATTGCCTGGAGGGCCGCCAGTCTGAACTTGAAACATAGACCATTCCTCTTCAGCGACGGGAGAGCCAAGGGGGAGCTTGGACGAGGGCCACAAGAAAAGCGGGAGGCAGCTGTACAGGCCCGGTAGGCTGTGGGCACGTCTGGATAGCAGTGACGGCATAGCTTGGCCGCCTGCTCCTGAGGGAAGAATGCCACGGGAGGGTGAGCCGTGAGGCCCAGGCTGCGAGCAGGGCCCGTCTGAGAACAGGGCCCCTCTGACACCTCACTGGAGTCAAGGGGTTACCTGCTTCCGAGCTTGAGGGAAATACGTGTCTGGGACTGTGGTCTCAGGGCCTCCTGTTGTGCCAGACTGGAGTGCAGACAGCGTCACCCCTTCCTCTGGGTGGTGGCTTGGTACTCAGGCCCCAGGAAGGACCTCTGCTTCTGAGCTGCTCTGTTTCAGCTCCAAAGACAAACAAATGCACGATAGTCACAGAGTCCTTCACTCGCCACCTCATTTTTCCTTCCCCAGCTTCCCGCTGGAACTGTGTGTCCTGAGGGGACTTCATCAGCTTTCCGTTTGGGCTCATCTCAGCCCAGTAGGTCAGGAACTGTAGGAACATACTCACTTTTTCACACAAGCTCTGAATTTAGAATTAGTCCTAAGAAAAATCAGTTAAAGTGTGGCGAGGGAGGTTCAAGTTGCCGCCTACGCTGATTGGGAGCGCCTTCTAAAGGAACACGTTCACCTCACGGTTACCCCTGAATTGCCAGTCTCTATCTTAATGAATCAGTTGCTGATGGGAGTATGTCGTAAACCTCAGTTTTGCTAGGACAGAAAAAAATAAAAGAAAGATGAGAATCTTTTTTGGAGTAATCAGACCTCCCCACCTCCCCCAGCCTGGCATTGTAGAAAGTCGCCTGAGCTGCTCCAGGCAGGCCAACCTGCTCCGCAGGACCCGTGAAGCATAGGGTGTAATTTTGGGCTGCATCCCTGCTGTGCCAGTTGGATAATTTAGCCTATGTCTCTTCAACCTTAGTTTCTGCCAGCAGTTGACTGAGAACACCAATGAATAAACAGCTGTCTGCCGTCAAAAATAACACTCGAGGCTTAAGTCGGTGGAATGCTAGAAAGACTCTAGCTGGATTTCACTAGCTGGATTTTGGTGGAGATAAACGCAAAACCCTCCCCTTTGGTATGGGAATCAACTGCACATCTACAAAGCAGGAAGCTGCGTCCACACAGCGGCTTGATGAACTAGGCTGAGAGGTTTAATATACTGTTAGTTCAATAGATGTCGGTAGCATGACTTCTTTAAAATTGTGGACTTTGTTGTATGGCATTGTCTGGATCAAAGAAGGAAGGAAGATAATTTCTCTGCACTCTATGATTTGTTTAGTCTAGGGTACCATGCTAGACTGTGGAGAAGGGAACCAAAACTGTCTTAGGAAGAATTGCTGAAGAAATTGGACTATTTAGGCTGGACAAGAAAAGACCTAGGGGTGGTGAGATGTCCCTGTAAGTTGTATTCAAGAATCTGAAGACCTGTCCTGTTAAAGAGAAACTAAACATGTTTGTTGGGGCTCCAGAGCTCAGAACTAGGATCAATAAGTGAAAAGTAGAGAGAGAAAGACTTTGACCCAGAATGATAAATTTCTAATAGAGATGTCTAAAAATGAATGGGGTTGTCCTTGAAGGTAATGAGTTCCTCCTTGTTGGCTACATTCAAACAACGGGAAAGCCACCGTTTATAGGCACGCTGTAGAAAGCATTATGCACTCTGGATGTAGTTCAAGGAGGTGACTTCCAAAGTCGCTTTCAGCAACCCAGGAAAGCACCTTGTAGTTGGGTATAGTTGTTGATACCATACTATTAATAAATATTGCATGTGGTGATGGGTGCAAAAGAGGGTGGAGTTGAAATATCAAGTTAACCCTTCTTTGGCCTTGTGAAAGCACTCTAACTAGGCATTGACCAGCAATGCTAACTGGGTTCGCACACAGTAACTGTGGGTTCATATCACTAAACATTATTGTCTGGACCTCACAAAGGAAATGAATGGACCTCGTTGTAAAGCCAGATTTGGATTTTAAAGTTAAACTGAAGTTATCTTTGAGTACAATTAAAAAGAATATGTCAAAATTAAAACCATTGTTAAAATTAATCAAAGATTTCAAAAGGTAGAATGAACCTCAGAGCTGGAAATTACTGATTTAAACAATTGTTCTCACATTTTAAACTACATAATGAGCTAAAAATTATGAAGCCTAAGAGTATAGCTGCAAAGAGTAGTATAAAACTAAAGTCAGAATGAAGTGCTTTAGCTTTCAAAACTAAAAAGCAGAACAATTACTCCCTACAAAATGGTATAGGAAGAGGTTTCTGACCCCTGCTAATTGTTTTATTATTCTTCAGAGGGGCATATTGGCAGCATTTCCCAGGGTTTTCAGTAATTACACTCCATTCAATATCTGAAGAATTACAATAATTCTACACGGAATATACTTGTGCCCTTCTGATGCAAAGCCTTTAGAGAAGTGAAAAAACAACTTAAAAGTAAATTAGCGGGAAAATTATCATAGTTACTATTTATTTCAGGGCACTATATATCAGAGGCTAATTATACATTGTATATATTACATTTTCTTGGAGGTATTTGTAATATATTTCTCATACTGATCAACAAACATGCTAGTTTTTAGAATCCTTTATGAAAATCAAGTTCGAACTTTTCTGATTGCCTCTTTGTGTATGAGAAGTTATCCAATGAAGGCCCATGTCACTTCATGCTTGCCAGAGTCCTCAAAGCAGTAGTATTCAGGGAGGTATTATGATAGAGATAGATAGATAGATAGATAGATAGATAGATAGATAGATAGATAGATAGATAGATAGATACATAGATAGATAGATAGATAGATAGATAGATAGATAGATAGATAGATAGATATAGATAGATTTGTAAGGCCTTGACTCTTCTATGATTTGTTTTTTTACACTACATAAGCTTTCTCAAAGTCATTTTATTATACTTTGGCAAGCCAAGTATCCATGAATGAAAGCAAGGACTGGAATAACATAGCCACTCAGAGATTGGGGAATCTCTTTACCTGAGTGGAACCTTATCAGTTTTCTACTCCAATTAAAATTAATCTGCTATCCCCATGGGGCCCCTCCCCCCACTTTAGAGTCTAAGCAGCAGAGGTGTCCTGGAACATAAGCAATGACTGGGATGCCAGCTACTCTTAAAATACCATGAGCAAGAAGTATGTATTCTGGCTAAAAAATGGAGCTTACATCTCACCAATGTTTTCCCTCAGGAATTAGAGATCTCTGTTTCTGTCCTTCATTTTTTTTTCTCATTTCTTCTTCTGTTTTTAATGGAGCTCAGCACAAAAGGTTCCCTTTTAAGTCTTTATTGCAGCCAAAAATTTACAAAGAAATTAAGAAGATCACTTAATGACAAAATTAACAAAGGTCAAATCAGTGATAATCCATTCATTTGATTGAATACATGCTCATTTTTAAAATGTTTTAAAATACAAATGCAAATGGTATGGCATGCAATGCAAAAAAAAGTTCAAATTACAATGAAATATATATACACAGTATGACGTCAAAGTTTTTAAAAAAATATGATTGTATGAATGTTTATTTTTTCATCCCAGAAGGAAATATACCAAAATATTAATGAAGTTACTCTGTGATGTTCTAAGTGATTTTTAATTTGCTCTTAATACTTTCTGTATTTTCTGATTTTCTAAAATGTGCATGTGTTAGTGATATAATCAGAAAGGAAGAGGGAGTAAGGGAAGGAAAGAGAGGGAATCGGATCATTAGGATTAACATTAAAACACATACTTTTGCTGGAAGATTAGAGAGCTCAGTAATGCATAGTGTGTAGCAAAAATTTATAGGTAGAATATTTTTACTTTCTGTTTAGTCACTATAATCTAATACCTCATCACTGAGTCCTGTGTACTCTGAAGAACTTGACAAGCTAATCCTTCAAATCTGGGGTAGTTATAAATTCTCTTACAAATTCACAGTGACCTCAGGAAAGGACAGTGAAAACTATTCCTGAACTTTAAGGTACAACCTCAGGCATGATAGGTACGATTTACATCATGGGGAACAAGCAAGCAACGAGACTAGAGTTATGCCATTAATATTCCTTAGTGGAAAATGCCTTTTATGTCTGAGTGTGTCTGCCTCTTTAAAGTAATTAAACAGGTTACACATCAACCTGCTGCCTTCGGAGAGTCAACATCTCAGAACATGCTGTCTCTCGTGGTACCGCTGCTGAAATAAATAATTATTTGTTTTCCTTTTTATATTACACACTAAGTTTACTTGCATTTCTGTCTTTCTTTTTTCCTTATTCCTTCTAGCGTATGATTACAAATACTGCCAGAACGGTGAGATACTACAGGAGCCAACCCTTCAGTAAGTTAAACGCTGCTACATCCTGCAATGTATTGAGTCCTTTTTAATGAGACCACTGCGACACTCTAGGAGCCAGGACAGTATGTGATTGTGTCAGAGGCACTTTGGGCCATGAATTCCGTGGGACAGAGGCCTTGAGTTTAAGGATTTTCTTGCTTTTATAAAACTAGAAAGTATCTACTTTGTTATAAAACTAGAAAATAACCATAATACTACTATTTTATGAATGAATTTAAAGAGAATTAATTTGCTTTTTCCAGTGTGGTGAGAGACAACTTAGGCAAGATTGCCAACAAATCCTGCTTCAAACCAACTCTCTTTATGACTCATAGCTTGATGTTGAGAAACTCACATCAACCCCTGATGACTCAGTTCTGTCGTTTATAAACTGGGAAAGATAATATTTGTTGTCACTCGATGTGTTGCAAGAATGCATTGATGTTTATAGCAGATTTATAAAAGGCCCCATAGCAGCATCCTGTTATATTTCTAGTATTCCCAAGTAAATTCAAGGTGTTCTTTTTAAATCTGAACATGTATCACAAGAACTGGCATTATATAATACTTTAATATAAAAATATTACTAATAATAAATAACAATTTTAATCCGTTCGGAGTTAAATTGCATCATAGTACCAAATGGCAATGCTATGACACATTAGTGCTGCTGTCTCCTCTGGGCTGGGACTTTGGGGAGGGGGGTGGAGCTTTGGCTCCTTCAGTCTGGCCTGGGAGTGAGGAGGCGGACCCTATACAGTTTTTGGCTAACTTCACTGGATGAGTCAGTTGAAGAAATTTATCTCATTAACCCAACATGATAATATGACATGGACATGACTCTGAGGCTACCAGTAACATCCCCTCTGGTAAACCCAGTGCTAAGAGACCAAAAGGTTCTTGTTCTATTAATCAGAACTGTTTGCACTTCCTAGCACAGGATTGGCCCAAAGCCAGGGTTTGCTGACATGGGAGACCAGAACTATTAAATGTTCATTTTTTTAATGTACAAGGGGAAAAATATCTGGGAAAAATAATCTTGACTTGGGGAGCAAGTAGATCTTCAAAAAGTTAATTCAAATGATTGTACCTTCTCTGACTTCCAAAATGAGAATAGTCTTTGTACATCATCAACTATTCCTATGTGGATTCTGCCAGAATTAGTGTCTCATACTTTTTTGTCTGATCCTTTACAGTACATTTAAAGACATGACCATAAAGCAGTTGTACAAGTGAAAATGAGAATAGATTAGTGACATCAGTTACAACAAGAGTTTGTAATCCAGATTCCGTGGCCCTTCAGCGGGGTCCGGGAATTCCTGAAATTATATATAAAAGTTTGTGTGCCTGAGAGGGTTTATAGCCTTAAGAAGGTTTTCAGTGAGCTTCAAGTACCAAAAATGTTCCATAATAGAATATGTAATACTTTGTTCCACGAGCCTCTTTGGAAGTAAATTCTACATTTTCCTACATCTTCTCCTAGGGAAGCGAAGGAGAAATTATTTTTTAAAAAACTCCACTGCATTTGTTGAAGTTATCACTAACTGCTGGTAAACAACAGCTGCTCAGCTCTGAAGTCAACAATCTATAGATAAAGCTATAGGAATAGACTCATAAACACTGTGGGAATATGTACAATGTAATTACAGTATATTGTACGTGTAGAGTACACTGCCAGGGAGAAGTGGAAAAAATTAAACACAATGTGTTCTGCAGTGCACTGTGGTATTATTTATATGTGATAATTATACTGACGAGTTTCTTCTTACAGGGAGTAGGGGCCTTTGTGTCTTCTCTTTGCTATTCTGTGTTCAGAACTGCAATGCTCCCCTTTACTCCTGGTGCAGATGGCACTCTAATTGTCATTAGGAGCAGGATGCGGATCTAACAGGAGTCGCTGGGCTGCAGGAGGCAGTGTGCTATGACAGACAGAACCCCAGTTGGGAGCCAGACTGACTCCGCCACTCCCAGTGTCCTGTGAGACCAGAGACCTCACCCAGTGATCCATGGGACAGAGGTGGCCCACAGAGGTGTGGGTCTAAATAGAGCATTTTTTCCCTTTTATTTTGAAATGATGTCACCGTTTAAAACTTGGAAGAATTCACAGGGAAGAAGTCCACATTTCCCATTGTTCAAGAAAAAAAAAAAAAAAGAAAAATCTGGCAACTCTGGGCACAGACTTCCATGGCAGCAACATGCAGGAGCTATGCAGTCACTTCCAAGGGGACGTGTGTTTCCAGTTCACCATCAAATTTGGCCTGCGTCATTCATGATATCCCTTGTGTAGGGCTGTGGCCATCGAATTCCTCTTTCAGACACAATTTTAGTGAAATCAGTTAACCTCTTTGATAGCTCAGTTCCTCACGTGCTTGGGGTTTGGATCAGAATAGAATGGTAACTTAATTTTGAGAACAAATAGCATCAGATAATCAAAGGTCTAGCAGAAGTCATAACTTTAGCCCATGAGCTGGGTTTTGTTTTGTTTTGTTTTTTCCTGACTATGGTCAGTCTCTAAAAACACACAGTCTATGTAGTAATGCTGTATATTGTTTGCAAGTAGAGAGGAGAGTCAGGACTTTACAGTCTCACTGGCTGACTTCTGTCTGGCCCAGGTGTTAAGTGCTTTTGTGAGGTGCTAGTGAAAACTGCCTCTTAACGTTAGTCCTCATCTGGATCAAAGGAGGCAGAGACACAGAGATGCATTGGTAAGGGGAAACAATTTTCATCTATAACCAGGGGCTATCAGACAGATGCTTTCCTTTTTATTTTTTTATTTGGTGCCATTTTTTTTATTTTTTTGTGCAATGTGCAATGCAAAGGAAAATGATCAAAGGAGGTGATTCCAGGGAGGAAAAGAAAATTGGAGGATAGGAAGGAGGAGATGGAAGAACCAAGTGGAAACTTCAATGAATGTGGTGTGTTGAAAGGTCTTGGTGGAACCCAGGAATCTATGACAAATGTAATAAGTAATTGGGGAAATAAGGCTGTATCTTAGGTGCATATATTATACAATGCCAATGCTGCCCTTTCCTCTTTCAACAGATCCTGATGCGGCTCAAGCTAATAAGAATCATCAGGATGTCCGGAGTTATGTACGGCAATTAAATGTGATTGACAACCAGAGAACTTTATCACAGATGTCACACAGATTAGAGCCTCGTAGACCATAGACATTTAAAGCACCCAGAGCAATGGTTTGTCTCCAGTCCATAATCTTTCAAAAATGCCATTTATGCTACTACTGACTGTATTGCCACCAGAGAATTCTACAAAACAAGCAAAAACATCCTGAGACACCTCAGGGCTGCATTCAGCTTACCAGCTACATGACAAGAGAAGGAATTATTTGACTTGCATAAAGCTTACACACTCTAGCTTAGGAATCCCCAGTCTGTAGTTACCCTATTTCATTTGCAATTGTGCCATCTTTTTTGCTGAAACATTAAATAAGGCCCACGTGAAGAGTTTGGTAGAAATACCACTGTCAAGAGAACCATCGAGCCCCTGACCATTTTTTTCTGAAAAATGCTTAAAGGGTATGTTCTACAAATGAAATTGATTTGGATACATTGGTGGTGATATAGTTTCATAGTTTTTAACTCAACATCTTGATTTGGAGCATGAGGTTTGAAGAAGATGTTAAGGAATCTATGTAAGTCCAAATTATAGGTTGTATTCTTCTATCTTCATAGTCTTACCTCTGAAGGAATAGAACCTGACCACATTACTGTAAAACGTTATGGCTATTTATGTGATTTAGGGGGGACTGGTCTGTAATTTCTGAATGATATATAGAATTATATTTATGTTTACAATGTAACTTTTAAAAATTTACAAATCAGGATTACATACATAAGAATTCCACTAAGAAACACCAAGGTTCTTAAAATTGCCAGCGCTAAAATGGAAAATAACATTTCAGAAGAGCACAATATACACAAAAGATTTTTCAAAATTGAATTATTTTCCTGGGCATTAAAAACCTTTCCTATTGGCTACAAATGTATTGTTACTGATGAAAAAAAAATATTTTCTGGACTTAAATGTTACTACAAATTTCTTAATTTGTAAACAATTGTTTTGCACTTTCAAATAGATTGTAAATAGTTCATTCAATCAATAGTACAGAGTTATTTATTTGCTACATAATAGATATTGTGCCAAAAATTACTTTTTATTTATTTTATTTAGTATGTAATTTTGGAGTACATTTTTTTCCTGTTTTCACAATTAGACTACATTTAATGTGTAGGAATTGTATGTATGTATATCTTCTGTAAATAACATCTATTATCTTCATTAAATATAATTGTTGACAAGATATGGTTGTGTTGTTCTCAATTACTATTTTTTGAGAGTGATAACCATTTGGTATTGTGGGGTACTGGACTTTTTTTAATGAAATAGAATCCACATACTATAAAATTCATGCTTTTAAAGTGTATTATCCAGTGGTTTTTAGTATATCCACCAAGTTGCCTAACCATCATCACTATCTAACTTCAGAACATTCTCTTCATTCCTAAAAGAAGCATTAGCAGTCACTTCTCCTCTCCTTCCATCCCCTGGCAGCCACTAATCTGCTTTCTTTCTCTATGGATTTACTCTGGGTATTTCATATGAACGGAATCATATACCATGAATCCTTCTGTGTGGTTTCTTTCACTCAGCGTAATGTTTTCAAGGTTCATTCATGTTATAGCTTGTATCAGAATGTCACTTCTTTTTATGGCTGAGTAATATTTCATTCCTTGAATGGACCATATTTTTTTTATCCATTCATCAGTTAATAGACATTTGGTTGTTGTTTCCACTTTTTTGTCTATTGGGAATATTGCTGCTATGAAGGGGTACTGGATGTTAGAGCTGCCTGATGTGGGCCCTCATGCCATCCTTCAGTGATTTAAGCACTTAGTAAATATTTGATGGAGAGATTTCCAAAATTCTTTAAATTCCAGACATGACTCTATTTTTGAATAAGACGGCACTTTCCAGAATGTGTTCCAGGCTGTACTAGTCTCACAAGTTCACATGCTGTGCCTCCAAAAACACAAATACAGAGCCCAAAACAAAACCAAGATGCTAACTTTTAATAAATTTGAGGGCCACCACATAGTACACCCTTTTCTTAGAAATGATTCCCAGTAGTCATTAACATATTAAAGACTCTGAGAAGTCCTATTTTAATCCCTCTTAACATCCCACAGTTAAAGCTCACTTTGAAAAATGCTAAAGCAGGCAATGCAGAATACCTTTCTGTGTTCATTTATATAAGATTTCAAGGTCCTCAGGAGCAGGGTGTTGTATTACACAGTATTATTATGCCTTCCACCCAGAGGCAAGTACAATGCCTGGGGTTTACTAGACAATAAAAAAAGTCACAGAATAAATTTCTTGAAGTCATTATTGTTCAGCATTTCATTATCTCATAGACCTCAATATCAACTACAAAATTTTCACCATTATATATTTTTCTTTATCTAGATAATTTGCAAAGATGATAAATGAAGCCGACAGCCCATTTTTTTGGCATCTTTGCTCTTGTTTTACTTTCTTTATTTCTACCTTACTGAAAAACTAGTATCCTGTGTACAGCAATACTTTTCCCCAATTCCATGGTGACTGACAACTTATGACCTTATTTTAATTTGGTTTCCACATTATTCAAAATTAATACATATTATCCTATGTATATTCCCCTCGGTCTTCCAAATGAGAATAACTATTACTGTACTTAATAAAGATTAGAGATTTTAATTATGTCTGGCTTCTATGAAATGCATTAAACTCCATTATTCAAGGGGGGTAAAAGAATTCACACTCTAAAGACATAGAGTAGTAGCCAAGCAACCCTTCCTGAGGCAGGAGATGCAGTTAATATTTTAAAACTTGCAAACAAGCCAAAATAAAATGAGATGCCTACAGGGTCACAAGAAGGATAATGAGGTTTGCTGGAAGACATGAAAAAGAAGAAAGAATGTTATCAAAAGCGCCTGTAGAAAATTATACATTTAAGTGTTTAACATACCTACTTAGCAAGGTCACTGGCATAGCGTACAGGAGCTAAGCTTCTCCAGCAAATTTTGAATACCATGCAGGTTAAATATACTTCTCCTGGATTCATTGCCATTTCCTCTGAAGATATGAATGCAGATCAATGACTACCAAAGTGAGAAAATTAAAAGAAGTGTCATTCTAGTTTCAAATTGTGCTAATAATAATTTTAAAAATCAGCCTGGAATATGCACTGTGGTAAAATGAACCCCTACCTCGAATAGCTTTCCTTTTGCTGTCAATCTAGAACACATTACATCCCTTGTTTAGAGTAATCTTAATCTGTCCTACATGGAAGACTGGTATGAGGTGAGCAGGTCACAGCATTCCTTACGTCTAACCTGGAGTAGAACCCTTAACGTGAGTATTGTTAGACATTCTTCTATTCACTCATTCATTCGCTCATCCATTCATAAGCAAATAATAATGGAAGTGCTTGCTGAGTGCCAGGTCCTGCAGGACTCAGAATTCAGTGCTGAGAACAACCATAGAAGGTCCCTGATCTCTTGGGGTTTATCATCCAGTGGGAGAGACAAGATTAATCAAGTAATCTTGCAAACAAATACATATAAAAAGACTTCCACGAAAGGATAAAGTGTTGCAAGAGCCTGTGACAAGGGGATTTAACCTGAGCTGAGGCGAGGAAGTGTGTCCTGGGGAAGTGACAGTGGGCTGAGTTCTCATGTGAGGTGAGCGCTAGCTAAGCAGAGAGAGTAAGTGCTCCCTGCAGGAAGTGACATTGGCAGTGAGGGCCTGCAAGCCCACTGTGGCCGATAGAGCACACAAGTGACAGCATATGAACATGTGCTGGAGAACTAAGAGGGGCTCAGAGCCTGCGAGGCCTTGCAGACCTTTGTAATGAGCAACATCTTTTTTTTCCACCCAAGAGCAGTGGGAAGCCATCGAAGAGCTTGAGGCAAGGAGATGTATTTCTTGATTATTTTTTTAATTTTTTTTCAGAGACAGAGTCTCACTCTATCACTCAAGCTGGAATACAGTGACACAATCACAGATTACTGCAGCCTCCAGCTCCTGGCCTAAAGCAATCCTCCTGTGTTAACTTCCCGAAAAGCTGGGACTACAAGCATGCACACCATGCCCAGCTAAGTTTTTTATTTTTCTGTAGAGACAAGTCTTGCTATGTTGCCCAAAATCCTGGGCTCAAGCAATCGTCCCGCCTTGGACTCCCAAAGTGCTGGGATTACAGGTGTGAGTCACCATGCCCAGCCTGGGGTTGCATTTCTAATGGTGAGCACTTGCAGGGCAGGGCAAAGGCTTTATATGTACCACACTGCCCTGGACACATAGTAAGGGTCATGCCTAGTTCATTGATTATTATGCAGGGTTAAAGGTAAGGCTCTGTGCACAATGACAAACATTAAAAGTCAGTGGTGGACCCAGTCAAACATCAGCCCTCCTCCTGACAAGGTCCACACACTGGGCCACTTTTAAGTTTTTTATTGTTATAAAATATGCACAACATAAAATTTACCATTTTACCCTTTTGAGTGAACAGTTCAGTGGCATTTAGTACATTCACGTTGTTGCACAATCATCACCACTGCCCATCTCTAAAACTTCAAAATTTCAAACTGAAATTTTATACACATTAAAGAGTAACTTTCGGCCGGGCGCGGTGGCTCACGCCTGTAATCCTAGCTCTCTAGGAGGCCGAGGCGGGCAGATTGCTCGAGGTCAGGAGTTCGAAACCAGCCTGAGCAAGAGCGAGACCCCGTCTCTACTATAAATAGAAAGAAATTAATTGGCCAACTAATATATGTAGAAAAAATTAGCTGGGCATGGTGGCGCATGCCTATAGTCCCAGCCACTTGGGAGGCTGAGGCAGAAGGATTGCTTGAGCCCAGGAGTTTGAGGTTGCTATGAGCTAGGCTGATGCCACGGCACTCATTCTAGCCTAGACAACAAAGCCAGACTCTGTCTCAAAAAAAAAAAAAAAAAAAAAAAAAAGAGTAACTTTCTATTTTTTCCTCCCTCCAGCCCCTAGTGACTGCTATTCTATTTTTCTCTCCACGAATTTGCCTATTTTAGGCACCTCATATAAGTGGAATCATACAATATTTGCCCTTTTGTGTCTGGGTTGTTTCACTTAGCATAGTGTTTTCAAGGTTCCTCCAAGTTACAGCATGTATCAGAATTTCCTTCCTTTTTAAGGCTGAATGGTATTTCATTTTATGTCTATACTACATTTTGTTTCTCCATTCATCTGTTGATGGCTATTTTGTTTGTTTGCACCTTTTGGCTATTGTGAATTATGCTGCTTTGTGAACATGGGTGTACAAATATCTGTTCAAGTTTCAGCTTTTCAATCTTTTCAGTATATACCTAGAGGTAAGATTGCTGAAGCACATAGCAGTTCTGTTTAGTTGTTTGAGGAACTGCCACAGTGGCCGCACCATTTTATGGGCTACATTTGATTTGATACAGCTCATGATTAGCTGCGTCATCTCCTTGGAGACTAAAGCTGCCATGTATGGCATGGCTGCTGGGAGAAGGAGTGGCTGGGGGCCCAGGGCTCGGTATGTGGGTGTCTCAGCAGGGAGCAGGAAGGCTTCACTTGCCAGTATGCCCTCTGTCAAACCACGGCTGCCCACAAGACAGTTACAGCCCCAGAGCTTTGGTCTGTCCTTGCTGCCCTGTTGCCTGCTGTATCAGACTCCTGTTGTGTGTAGTCTGACAGTGCAGGGTGGGAGGAGCAGAGGGAATGTTACTAACCCCAATAGAATAAGGGCGTGGGAATGGGAAAAGTGCTTGCTTTGCTCCCTTGCATGTGCTTGTCAGGCAGCTAGGGAAGGTCAAGGATGCTGCTACAGGAAGCCAGAATCTTTGTTCCTGGGGCAATTCAAATTTGGAAAGATTAGGGCCCAACCCTGCTATAAAGGGAAGTCAGCCCAAGGCACTGTGAGCTCATGGGCTCTGGCATTTCCCTCCAGATTTGAGAAAGGGTTAGGGCATGTGAGAGCTGCCTGATTCCATCCTAGTCTCCTCCTCTCAGCCCACTCTGAGAGAATTCAGACTCTTTCCAGCCAGGGAAGACACAGGAGGAGTGGAATTCTACAATAGGAGGACCAACACAAGAGAAAAATGAGAGCAAAATCTGGCATAAAATTCTTCAGAACAGGGTTTTGCAGCACTTGAGACTAAAAGGGGACTGGAATATCCTTATCAGGTCTTCATCCATTTCCTCAGCTAGAGGCATGTTGCAATAGTGATAATGGCTGGGGACTGGGAGGGAAGGCAGGAATGAAG